GAGAGCCACTGTTCATGCTCTACTGCGCCATCAAGCAGCAGATGGAGAAGGGTCCCATCGACGCCATCACGGGTGAGGCCCGCTACTCCTTGAGCGAGGACAAGCTCATCCGGCAGCAGATCGAGTACAAGACCCTGGTGAGGAGGCTGGAAACTTAGGGGACACAGCAAACCTCCTGTCTCAGATCCATTCTCTGCCCTCCAAGGACAAAGCCAATCAATAAAGAGGCTAGGATATGGCCTGGGGGCAAGTCTAAGGGGCGTGCCAAGTGTTCCAAGAGTGTGGCAGACATGCCTGTGTTTCCCCTCCCCATCTCAGCTGGTGGGCCCAAAGAGCCCTGTCTGTCTCAGTTTACCCTAGATGATATGGTGGGGGTAGGGGTGAGACCCCCTCCATTAGGTATGGGGAAATTAGCATTACGGGGAAGAATATGAAATTGCTAATTCCTAACATAGAGGCTTTGGGAGGTGGGTGGCCATCCCTGGATACACCTGGAGCCATCTCTGAACCCCTAGGACGCCTCGTTCCGGGATTACAGTGGCTCCTAAGCCAACCAGGAACTAGAAAGTGGAGTCCCAATTCTTTGAGAAGGGCAGGGTAGGCATGGCTCAGGTTATCATTTGGCAGATGGCAGGAAGGCGAGAGAACCCGAGGCATGGACATTTCTCTTGTAGGGAGGGTAAGTCTTAAAAGGGGAGTAGTCCAAGGGCTTCCTCCCACTCCTTCAAGCTGTCCCTTGAACTCCTATCCTGCTCCCCCTCCGTCGTCACTTGTAGATCCTGAACTGCGTCAACCCCGACAACGAGAACAGTCCCGAGATCCCAGTGAAGGTGCTAAACTGTGACACCATCACACAGGTCAAGGAGAAGATCCTCGATGCCGTCTATAAGAACGTGCCCTACTCCCAACGGCCAAGGGCTGTTGACATGGACTTGGGTAGGAGGCCCGGGCTTGGAGTGTGGGGGCAAGGGGTAGAAAGTGGCTTCCAGGAGGGCCTTTGGGCCATGGCATGGAATGAGGTGAGAAAATGAGAAGCCGTGTCCTGCATAGGCCCCTCCTGGGGACAGTCCTGCCCCAGGCAAGGGGCCGTAGGAAATACTTCTCCCAGGGCACTGCTTGCTCTGATGTGGCCACCTCTGGTGAAGTCCACACTTCTCCCCAGCTGCCTTGACCCCATGGGGCCCTTGAAGTCTCGAAGCACTATGAGTGGCACCAGCTGGGGTTGCCAGGCCCCTAGACGAGGCAGGACTGGGTGACCTTGGTTCATAGCCCCCCCCCCCACCTACACCACCCCGTCTCCCCAGAGTGGCGTCAAGGCCGGATCGCCCGGGTCGTGCTGCAAGATGAAGACATCACCACCAAGATCGAGGGTGATTGGAAGCGGCTGAACACGCTGATGCATTATCAGGTGAGGGCAGGGGCTTTGAGCCGCGACCTTTGACTCCCCAAAACGTTCCTTTCACTCCAGGGTTTGCTCTCAGGCCCTCAGAAGCCTAGAAGAGATTTTCTCATCTACCCCTTCCTCCTCCCCTCTGAGTATAAAACAGAGATTTTCAGCCATGACTACCTATGAGAATCATTAGGGAAACTTCTCAAAAAGACGAGTGCCCCGACCCCGCCCCAAGAAACTGACTTAAGTGGTCTGGGTGAGGCTAGGCATTTCTATTCTGTGTGTCTCTACCTCCACCGAAAAATGGCATATTGTGAAGTCCTCTGAAAGGACACTGACCGTGGGTACCTGCTGCTTTCTGTCCTCAGCATCTCATCAGCGCAGCTTACACTTCTCACTTGCCACGGAGCAAGAAATTGGGTAGACTTGTCTTCCGGGTCTTGCATTCTGCCACTTACTAGCTGGTGTCCTTGGGGAAATTACTTAAGTTCTCTTCTTTCTCATCTGTAAAATGGAGTTCAAAGTGATCCCCGCCCCATAAAGTTGTGTGAAGTCGATTCAATGCAGTAAAGTGTTCGGCACAGAGGCAGATGCACTGAATGAATGAACAGTCAAAAAAAAAAAAAAAAATTCCGGCAAAAGAACAAAAGATCCAGGAGTATCTATTCCTGCCTCCCCTTCCCTCCCATAGTAACGACTGCTCTCGTGGCTGGGGGTCTCTGTAAGATTAAGCACAGGTAGGCTGGTTGGGACTCAGGAAAAATACTGAAATAGAAGCTGGAAATGAGAGACACCGAGGGAAATTAAACCAACCAGAGGAAGCGCCGCAGGCTGTGAGACCCTAAGGGATTGCCTGATTAATAACATCCTCCCAGGTCCACGCCGCGCACAGGGAGGGTGCGGAGGGACTGGCAGGCACCGGGTTGCCATCAGCCAGGCCACTGGGGGTCCTGAAGGCCAATAGGAGCTGGCTGGGAGGCTCCGAAGCACAAAGGAAGCTAGTGGGGGACACTGGGGGCAGCCCCAGAAACGCTCCTCTGCAGGCTCCATCTGCCTTACTGGCCTGCGTAAGCTGTGCCGGGTCCCTGACCACACCCAGCCCCAGACAGAGGAAGTGTGGTGTCTGAGAAGAGTAAAGGCTTTTCAAGCTGTATTAAAACCCCCGCTTCTGCACTCACTGGTGGTGTGTGACTTTCACCTCTCAGAACCTGGGCTCCCCATCTGTAAAATGAAGATGACAGCCAGGGCTTGTGAGGGTGGTTGGAAGAATTAGAAATAACGGGTGAGGGACGCGGGAGGTAGACTTATAGCCATTCCCTGTTGATTCCGCCCCCATCCCGCTCACACGGTGCCGATGCGTCCTGTAGAGCACTTGCAATGAGCTGGTTATAACGGCAGAAGAAAGCGCCAAAGAGAATAGCATTGTGCCTTCAAATCATCAGTTTCTCAAGGGCAGGAGTGAGCCCTTTCTTTTCTGTCTGTGATGCCCTGACGGTTGTTACTGAGCCGTCCGTCCTAAGGCTTCCAATCAGAATGGAATGTTCTGTTCTTACAGTGCTCATCATACAAAGCACTTCCAATTCCCCGATGTCATTTATCATTCATGTATTCATTCGTTCCTCAAATATTTACTGAGCTTTGCCGAGTGCAAGGTACTTCCCACATGCTGGCCCAGAGTGATGAGAAACACCAGCCATCATTCTTCCCTTTGGGAGACTGTGATGATGATGGTGATGCCCATAATAACCACACTAATGCCGATACTTACCGAGTGCCCACTGGGCGCCAGGCACTGCTGTCGGCCTTTATGTGTCCTGACCCCTTTAATCCTCATGATACACCTACATGCCATTAGTATCCCCGTCGACAAATGAGACGACAGAGACACGGAGAGGTTAACCGACTTTCCTGATGTCACGTAGCTAGTAAATGGCAGAGCCGAGGTCGGACCCAGCCAAGCATCTTGACCGTGGATTTGCACCGCCTGTCAGTCAAGAGAAAGAACGACCGAGCACTGAAGACGAGAGAGATTTAGTGACGAGACCTGGAACTGAATTGAACTGTGGTCATTCGCGTCACCTTGTGAATCTTCCTTTAGGTGACAACAAACCACACGTGGAGAGCATCATCTGTTCTTCTTGGGAGTAGAAACCCCTGCCCCTGCCAGGTTTTCAGAGTATCGTTTCTGGACTGCCAGTTGCAAGGAGAGTTCCTGAAGGACAGAGGTGGAGAGGTTCCCCTCAGTTCCAGACCCGGTACCGATGGTGCGGACCACTGGCAGTCCAGGGAGCCACCCCGGCTGGGGAGTTAACGGGGCACTGGAACTTTCCAGATGCCGTAAAGAGCAAAGGGCCCTTCAGCTTTATGCCATCAAGTCAAAGCATCGCCCCCTTGTTACTCTCCCTGGAGTCAAAGGTCCTGGAAGTCCCTCCAGGAGAAAATCTGCATAATCTTAATTAACAAAGAGATGTTAAAAAACTTCCTGGGTTCCCGCAGATTTATAGGGAGGGTAAAATTAAACACCACTACTAAAACCGGCTATCAGGGAATCTCGTTAGCACTAATGTTCATTTATAGTTTGACTTCCCAACATTTAATTCTTTTTTGGTGGGAGAGAGGGACTGACAATTTAAGACCCAGAAAGATGGTTTTACGACTGGTGCAGCTATAAATCAAACTTATAAAGTTCATAAAAATTGTTAAAATAAAAAATGGTTTAATAGGAATGTTTTATGGCCCATAACATTATTATAGCTGTTTTATTCCCTCTGCGTTAGGGGTTTAATTGGATCGCCACAATTCTGGGGATTCTCCGTTTTTATTGGATGGAGGGTAATCTTAAATCAAAGTGGCCCCAAATGTCTTCAATATGGCTTGTCATTTATCAGCCCTTTCCCTCCAGGCCGGGTGCTGAGCCTGGGTACCCTCACAGAGGACAGAGCGACAAGCCGTCTTTCTCTCTGCCTCCCCGAGAGCAGTTGCCCTGTTGGTGGAACCCCTCAAGGTGGCCCGGGCATTATAGGACCCTGGCCAGAAAAGAAATCAGAGCCAAAAGGGAAAATGGACTGCAGACCAGTGTGACTTGAAATGAAATCCCAAATTAGGATATAACGAGGAGAACATGTGCTCTGGAGCCTGACAGACCTGGCTACAAAGATGGGCTGTACCATGTATTCATTCATTGTGTGGCTTTGAAGACATTGCTTAGCCCCTCTATGCTTCAATGTCCTCATCTGTAAAATGGTAATGATCGTGCGAACTCACGGCGTTGAAGGGAGGCTTGAGTCTAGCCCAGGCTGTCCAATAGAAACATAATGCCAGCCACATGTGTAAATTAAAACTTTTTACTAGCCATGTTTAAAAAGTAGAAATGAGCCGATGAAATTGATGTTAACAATATATCTTCTCTAACCTAATAGATTCTAAGATAAATATGATTTCAACATGGAATCAATATGAAAATTATTAGTGAGATAATTTGTGTTCTTTCATTCATGCTAAGCTACTGAAACGCAGCATATATTATGCGTTTATAGCATAGTAGCTCATGTTATAGTTTAGACACTTACAATGTATCTCCGTTCGGACTAACTGAAGTTCAAGTGAGCGATTAGCACAGGTGGCGAACAACTACCGTGTTGGACGTATTGGCGAGTAGCAACCGTGGTATCTTCAATATTCCTGAACTCCTTGTGCTCTACCCCACGCCTCCTTCGTTACCTTCTAGAAGTACTTGATAATTCGCTTTACCGGTTCAACCACACTCTACCTTTCCTACCCTTCTCAGGTGTCAGACAGATCGGTGGTGGCTCTGGTCCCCAAACAGACCTCCTCCTACAACATCCCTGCGTCTGCCAGCATCTCGCGCACATCCATCAGCAGATACGGTGAGGACCTGGAAAGGCAGCCTGGGCAGCCTGGAGGCGGCCTCTGTGATCTACCACGGACCTCTCACCAGCCCTTTGGACGAGCAGGCAGCCCTCGCAGCTGCCCTTGTCCAGTCAAGGACGTTCGCTCATTTCCTTCCCTCCCCCCTAGTGCAGTCATTCCCGGCACGGCTGCGTCCTCAGAGCTGTGGGAGTTGGCGCACCACGTGCCCTTCCTTTGACAGCCTGCACCTGCTGAAGGAGGTTGAGGGGCCCAGAATCAGGGAGGCTCCTGGGTGGTGTTTCCCACATGCCAGTCCTTGGTCCAGTCCCAATTTGTACCTGTTGTCCTGGCTGAGTTATTACTAGCCCCCCTTTACTCTCAAAAGGGTCCCAATTTGGCAAGTAATTGACCATCCTGGCCTATCCACCCCCGAGGGCACAAGGGCCCCCAGTGCCTGCTGGGCCATGAGGTTACCTTGCTTCACCCTCTCTTGCTCCATTTCTTCTGGCTTTGTATATGCAGGAAGGCTTTGGGTTTTCCAGCTCAAGGACTGAGTCCAGTGGCTCCAAAAATGGCTTAAGCAATCCCATATTCTAGGTGCCAAGTAAGAAGGACCCATTGACTCCCAAGAAGGAGCATTATAAGTTACAGCTTCTTAGCACCCAGAGTTTTAATCAAAGTCCCTATGAAAATATTCGGCTGACATATTACCTATTGATTATTCTTTGCCGTGCAAGCATCAGGGGAGGAGAGCTCCCATATTTGCAAGGCTGTCTCCAACTCACAGAATTTCCAAACTCCTTTTTATTTTGAATTTGTTTTAAGTTTTTATTTAATTTTTAAAATTTTTTTAAAAGTTTATTTTGAGAGCGCGCACGCACATGTGCACACGTGCACACACACACAAGCGTGCACGAGTCGGGGAGGAACAGAGAGAGAGGGAGAGAATGAATCCCAAGCTGTCAATGATGAGCCTGATGCAGGGCTTGAACTCATGAAACTATGAAATCATGACTTGAGCCGAAATCAAGAGTCGGATGCTTAACCTACTGAGCCACCCAGGTGCCCCTGAATTTTATTTTAAAAGAAAGGGTTTCAGTCTCCTCTGTCATCATGCCAACCAAGGATCCCTACAATAACCCACCAAATATGAAGTCCCAAGGGTCCCCGTCCAATCGCAAGTAGTTTATTCTGAGTGAGTGCAGTAGGTGGGCATAGATTCTAGAAGGATTCTACAAGCAAGCATGGCGAAATCAGTGTCTCATGGGCCTCCACTGCCCCCTTCTCCTCAGACTCCTCCTTCAGGTACACCGGCAGTCCCGACAGCCTGCGGTCCCGAGCCCCTATGATCACCCCAGACCTGGAGAGTGGGGTTAAGGTGTGGCATCTGGTGAAGAACCATGACCATGGGGACCAGAAGGAGGGTGACCGGGGCAGCAAGATGGTGTCTGAGATCTACTTGACCCGGCTACTGGCCACCAAGGTAACTCCTGCTCTCCCCAACCCGGGAGGGCTCCTTAGAGTGGTATGTCCTGCCCACCCCACCCGCCCACCAGCGTAAGAAGGCTTTCATGGAGTCTGTGCTTTAAGGGGACCCATTCAGACAATCATACCCAGGTAGAGCAGGCTTTCCAGAGGATCGGGCCACTGCTGTTTTTCCCCTACCCTTTGGCAACGGTTGCAACAATATCATTGCCCCTGGCCCATCAAGACCACCATTACTCTGCAAAGGAACTGCTCTCTCGGCTCTGGGTGCCTGTACCTTTTAGGAAAATGTTAGGGTTTTCTTATCGATGTCAGCTGGATATGCCAGCCTCCACCACCACTGCCTTTTCTACCTGCTTTCTGGCCACATCGGGGGGAAAGCATAAAGGCCTGGACTTGCCAATAATTGGAGAGAAGCCTCCCCCTTCCCCATCCCATCCCACCTGCCCCCGAGTGCTGATGGAAGTGAGGGGGCCACGGTGCTGGAAGCTGTGATCTAAAAGCCGTCTTCCAGCTTCCCTCGCGGAGAACAAATACGCCCGTAAGGAGGGCAATTATGTGGCTCATATTTGCCAGCACAGGTCAGATTTCAAATGCTCTCCACCACAGACCCCACAGACATGCCGCTGAAATTCTAACGCAGTGGCATCCAGATTGCAGCTCTCAGACTTGCTCCCAAAGATGACATAGAAATACACCCTCGGACCACGTGTCTCAAATTTTGCTTTTGCTAATATGCTGATAAGAGACGAACACAGGACACCAGAAAAAAGGTTGGACATTTACCTAACCGTCAGAAGTGTTCCTTGAACCTGTCAACTGTGGGATGCAGGCCCGGCCTTGTCCCTGCCGAGATCCTCCAGGGCCCCGTGGGTCAAGGCTGGGCCTGGCTGTCCTTGGATCCGGACCCTTGTACCCGCAGCACCCACTCCCAGACACCACTGATCCCAGGCCACTGATACCACAAACCTCCTCACTCCTTTCAGTCAGACCCGTTGCCGTCCTGCCAGGAGGCTCAT